AAGTTCAGACGTCCGGCGCTCTGTACCGAAGGGTTTTCAAAAAGAATTTTTAATAGTTTTCTGACCAAATCGTATACGTTCTTTCAGAATCTGTGATCAAAAACGAATTTTGAAATTGAGGAGGTGGAAAGTATGTCAGAAAAACGCGGTTTTCTCACGGACTGTCTCTTAAACGTCATCAATAGGATAGAAATGTTCATTCGAATAGCATCCACTTAAAAGTACAGAAGATATGAAGATCCTTGACGAAAGAGAAGGAAAGTAATCTTTAATTGAAAAACTAAAATGTTTTGAAAAATACTCACTACCTATTAGACCGACAAAAAAGACTTCTTCAATTATGGATATTTGTAAACATTTTAAAGTTGGTAATTTTAATAATAATCGTCCTAATCGTTCTGAATCATTTGCACACGTTTTATTTAAATATTCTCGAAATTCTTTATGTGTTAATATTTGATAAGCTTGAATTTTTTCTTTTTGAATAATTGATGAAATATAGGCTTGATGTTGTTGTTGTGAATGTTCACTATTTGAATATAAAAAATTGACACAATCTAAAGTAAAAAAATATTTGTTTTTTTTTTAAACAATCAATTATTATTTGATCATTAATATATAATAATATGAAAATTTATAATATTTAGAGAAACTAACCCGTGTTAAACATAATAATTAATTTTAAATAAGCATATTCTGATGGTGTTAATTGTAAACGTTCAAATTCATTGAGTAGTAATTGAATTATACTTAATTGTTCACTTATTTGTCTCGATTTCTTTTCTGACATTTTTTCTATAAAATAAAAAAATAAATAAATACAATGAATAACTATCGATAGTATCATAAACCAAACGCTCACTATTTAATAATGTTGCTAAAATATTTGGTAAAACGACAATATTCGAACATTGTAAAAGACTTAGAATAAATAATTCAAGCCAATGTTTTTGTAATAAAATTATCTGAACATTCGAACTTAAATTAGACAATAAAAAAATAATATATAAAAATTTCTATTTATCTAACTATACATACTCAAGTAATTTAAAACAATTATTTGCTTTAATCCAATAAATTGATTGAAATAAAATACGTGACGCTGATTCGCATATAAAACTTTCTGTTAATTGAACTGGTGTTGGACTTGTAGGAGGAGTTATTGTGAATAAACATGAATTTTCATTGATTAATGGACCTAAAATATAAATAATAAAAGATTATATGACAAGTAATCTGTTAAATTATAAGAAATGTTTAATAATTAACAAAAAAATTCTTTTTTTCTTACATATTCAAATTGAATTTTATATAATTATAGAATAGGTAGAAGATTTATTATCTTTACTTACGATTCACTTGTTCCCAATAGCGTCGTTCTATATTCAAATGACTTCTAATATCATTTTCAATTGATCGTTTCTATAAAATAAATATTTAACTAGAATAGAAGATATGTGAATTGAAAAATAAACATACCATTTTATTACTACTAACATTAGCTGCTTTAGCCAAATTATCAAATGCTCTTGTTATTGCTGCATCAATATTTGTTGTTGTTGCTGATAGTGGACTAGATGATAAATTATTCTCTATTTCCGCTTTTATGTTACAATCGATACGTAATGATTGTGTTGGTGTTGAAAATACATCTAAATGAAAAAAATGAGACATATTGTTTATCAAACGAACAATGTATTAATGCCAAAAAAACCCCATACTTGTTGATGACGAAGGTGATCTTGGTCTTGAACTTAAAATTGAATGCAATGTACTAACCGTTTGTTGTGAGGGATATACGACGGAAGATGATGATGAAGAAGAACTGACGACTGATGAATGATAATTATTATTATTATTATTATTATTATTATTATTATTATTATTACTATAATGATTTGTTGAATAGGATAGACTTTTTCGAACACTTGCTAATGTTCCATTTAATGAATTAGTATTATGTCTTGAAGTTGTTGCATCGTTGCTTATCGATGCTAATAAAGGTGGATGACCATTTGTGGTTAAATTTGTTGGACTTTCACTTGTACTTCCATTTGATGTTGAACTGGAATTTGGAGATGTATCGAATGGTTGCTGTGTATTATCGTACGTATCAATAGTTTTTGTGAAACCGGATAATAGTGATGTTAACGGTAAAATACAATTCGACGATAAAAGCTAAAATAATGAAAAAAAGAAATTAATTTATCTCATAAAAAAAATAATGATTATCAGTCAGTCTCATTAGTTGATTCATACACAATATGAATAAAACCGTGTAAGAGAATGTGTTCAGTTTAAAACTATTTAAATGTTTTTACTTTTGATATTGGTATTGGTTCGATTTTTCTCGATGAGTTTATCAATGAATTATCAGACGATTTTCCATTGTTATTATTGCCATTCTGATGATGATTATTATTTGAATATGGTCGTCGTTCATTTTGAACAGCTATTAAATCAAAGAGAATAATGTTAAAACATAAAGAGTATAGAAATAGTACGATTACCTTCAATTCTCATTCCAGCATGTAAACATTTTTGTAGTCGACAATACTGGCAACGATTTCTCATAAATTTGTTAATAGGACATTCTTTATTTCCCAAACATGTGTACAATACTTGTTTACGTATACTTCGTTTAAAAAAACCCTTACATCCTTCACAACTTAATACACCATAATGACGACCTTTTAATTTTTGAAATCCAATAATTAGAATTTAAGATGTGAATATTGGGAGAAGATTTTTATATTACCTGATGCACGATCACCACACACACAACATATTAACGGTAATGTTTGATTTTCAAGATCATCTGTTATTAATAAAGAATTAGACGATGAATCTAAATATAAAAATTTGAGGTCAATTATACAAAAAGAAAATAAATGATTATTATTTTTACTTGATAAGTTTAGTAGACCATTTATCGTAGTTCCAGTTGTTGACAAAGAACGACTAATGTTTGTTGAAAATGATTCATTTTCACTCAGATTATTTGGCATCTGATGATGTCCACCACAATTCTCGGATGAAGAAGAATTTTCATTTTCATCCTATAAAAAATAGATTTAATATCAACATAGTTAAATTATTATCTACAAATTATTTCTAATGGTTCTATCGGGAGAAATATCACAATTATTCACATTTTGATCAGATAAAAACTGAAATTTTAACAAATCGATAAGAAAAACTTGTTTGTTAGTTCTACTAAGTTGTATATACAAATAATTTGATATACTCAACAATTTGATATTAATAAAATTGAAAACTGTTAATGGATTTCTAGAGATCTTGAATTTAAATAGGATTTCTAGATCTACGAATATCAGATTCAGGATCATCAAAAAGAATTATTCATAATCTAATGGAATTCAAGAAAAAATCGAGGTGATCTTTCCTTCGTCAGTTAGACAATTGTATTCAACGTCTTTTCGACGATATTGGTTTAGATTTAATGTTATTTTTTTTTAAATTTATTGATACTGACATACTGACTAATATCTATTATACATCTTGTAACCATTTCAAAATGATTGGGATACTTTTTAAATGACTCAATAATCAGAGTGTTGAGTTAACAATTAATTGATGTTTTTAAGTGGGAAAAATACATATTAAGGATCCATTCTTTCAGCAAAATCAGCCAACGATATCTCTTAATTAAAATAAATAGATATTTGAATATGATTTGATCTATTTTCTTTCAAAATATAAAGTATCAATCTCTATTTCAACGATCTCTAGTGTTTTTTTCACAAGATATTTCATACTTTTGCCCTTTTACAAATCTTTACAGTTTCTCTTGACGAAATTATATTATACTCTTCAATATAAAAAGTGTTTCACAAATCTATCATAAACTTATAACTAATTATTTAATTAGGTGAAAATAATTGCACTCAAGAGAATAACTTATATTTGTTTTTATTAACAATGCTTAGTATTTCCTGATATCTTTTCTTTTGTTTTTTTCTTGCATATTTTATCATAGATTATAAATGTTAGAAAGAGAAAAAAAGATCTACTGTATGAACTGATAAGTGTAGAGTAGATTTCAACTAGGTCCAAATATTTTTTGTACAATCAAAATTTCCCGTTCAGATTTTTGAATGTCAAGTCAATTAAAGGAAAAATATAAAAATCTATTCCTGTTGATCCATGAAAATAAGTGTTTTGTTTGACATATAATCATTTTTAACATTTTTTAAACCTTTAATCAAGAAAACTTTTTTGGAATATATTTTAGTAGGTTAATTTTAACTCATATTTTGTTAATAATCCGGAAAACTTTAAGATGAAGAGTTAATAAATTTGTTTTCAAATATCATTTGATATGATCAATAATGATTAAAAATTTTATCGAATCCGGATGAAATTTTTTCTTCATAAAGAGAAAACTATATAGATCTTTATGTTCTGATACATGTAATTGTAAATTTATATACATAACTGTCATCAAAATATTGAGTATAACTTTCAGCTGAATGATTATTAGATTTAATAACAATAGAAATTCAAAAAATAAAAGAAGAATAAAGTCTATTCTGAGTGAGTTCAGATTACAGTTAGATGATTGACTGATATTTGTTTATCTAGTTGTTTTTCAATTTGATGACATTGTGTTGCTTTCGTTAATCAACATTAGAAACAATAAAATTTGGATGAGATGTTTGTGACAACTTAGTGGTCCAATAGTTGAGAAGAGTAATGTTACGGATGATCGAAAATGGGCTCATTTCATTTCGCCTTTTTCCCATTGTCGTTTAAGAATGTATATTGTTTCAAAAGGTAATTGAAACATGATCTATCTGGTAAAAAAAAAAATGAGTCTCATAAATAGTTAATAGATGTCTATCAAGAAGTTCGCATCTACTGTTGTTTTTCTAAAGGAACAATGTTTTTCTTTTCTATTCTCTTTTTTTTTCTTCATATCTATCCACTTAGCCTTCTTCTCATGGCCATTTTTCAATGACGAACATCGTCTATACATGTACAATAAATATATAAATTTTTTTTTTTTTTTTCTCCGAAGAGAAACTTTGTTCGTCGTCTCACAGTTTTTGTCTATTTGTCCTTCATCCTTTTTTTTCTTTTTTTTTTTTTTCTTCTATTGTTCGTTTATTTACGTTCAAGGACAATGTTTTTTGTTTTCTTTTTAATACCACAATAAACAATCAATTAGAGAAGAAGAAAAAAAAGATCGGTATTGTAGTTAGAAAAAAAAAAAAAAAAAAGAAGAAAAGTTAATTCAGTACATGAGATTGTGTTAGACAAGCAGAAGAAATATCTTAATATGAACGTCAACTAGATTATGAAATCCCTCGATAAAAATCTCTGTTGTATATTTCTAGTATAAAGTTTAATTAATTCCTTACTTGTGCTCTATAAATTTCTAAAAGAATGAGTTTATTTTATCTGTAAAAGTAGAAAATAATTTTGATATATGATAAAAAAAACAAAAACATAATGTAAATGAAAGAACAATTTCAAGGACACTTTTAGTTAAATAATATGTGTTTAAAATAAATGTGCATGACAATTAATTAGTTCATGACTAAAAAATATTCATAAAAATATAACATATCTAGGTTATAAAGAGACTAAAGAATTTTAGTTTAATTTAAATAGATTTTTCTATTTTTATATTATAGACTGTTGAATATTTCTATTTTCTAACAATTAGATTTGACACATCATATTTCAATATTACACATATTATTAAGGTAAGAAGATCAATGACAAAAGAGTATTTTATTATTCTTTTTTTAGTTTCTCATCCACATAATATGTGTGGATATTTTATCTATTCATTGAAGGTCATGATTACATTTCCGTTTTCTTTTTGTGTATGTTTTTTTTTTCTATTACTACTATATTATTACTTTCTCTTTCGTTTTCTTTTTTTTTTTTATATTATCATCTCCGACATAAATATATATTTTTTTTTTTATGCCAAGGTCGAATTAACAGAATGACACAAGGGCAAATATTGTTTAGTTCTAATCTACAACCGACTAGAAAAATAACCTTTTTTTTTTTTTTTTTTTTTTCTTTTTCATACAAAGTTCTCGAAAGTTAAATTCTACTAACAACAAATGTCTTTTCTTTGAATAGAACTAATATATAGAAAAGAAAAAGAGTTCAACGAAGGAAGAAAGTAGCGGAAACTCGCTATTTCATCATTGTTCAATATTTTTTCCTGTAATAAATGTGTACGCAACGTTAGAAGAATGTCATATATAACTAACGGTAGCATTAGTATTTTTAAGAAAAAAAGCGAATGAAACTAATCGATACGTTTACTAATTCTAAGAGATGTTAGACAATTTTATGAGAAAAAATTTATCCTTAAATATCAGTTGAGAGCATGATCTTTATCAATATTAAACTATTGTTTTGTTTATCTGATGCTACGAATTTTCAAACCACTATTACTGAAAACTGTACTTAAAATCAACTACTAAACTAATCAATCTTTTCTCTCTACACACACATACCGTTTCTTCAACATTATGATTGTTTGTAAAATTATTGATAGCAAATGAATCATTTTTACATGATAATGTTTCTTGTTGTTGTGAGGGTGGATGAGGGTGAGAAGATGTTGAATTGTGGTTAGTATTACTGACACTATGATCACGACGAATTCGTTTTCGATGAGGTAATATTGAATCATGCGTTAAATCATATTCGATGTGATTTGTAGAACAAGTTCGATCAATATCGTCGTCTACTTCTCGTTTCATTCGATGAATTATACTCGTTTTCAAATCAATTGAATCGTCTACATTAACTAAAACAGTTGTAGGAGAAGTTGGAGATTGAATTCGATCTAAAATAAAGATTAAAAATGAATTATAGCTGACAAAAATAGAAACATTCATATTCACAAATGAAGAAGGAATATTAGAAAACAAATGAATGAAAAAAAAGTGCACTAATTCATTTTTTCGCTGCATAATTCGGGAGAGAAAAAAAGTAATAAATCTAATTGAAGTTTATTGAATAGTGATCAAAAATAATGGTAATAATAGTTATTCATGTACGATTTTTGAAGAACATACGACTACTAGATAGTAGAAAGTTGAAAATAACTGGTTAACATTTGGTTTTCTTTATATCAATGTCAAATTCAAGTGGAAAAACAGTCGAATGAAATACAAGTAACACATAGAACATATAATCACCTTTATACTATGAATAATTATGTTTTTCCAACGTGTAGTTTTGTTTTGTTGCTTAACAAACCTTGCTTTTGATAGAGTTATAATAGACAAGTTGTGTTCTCGTTTTTTTACTAGTAAATGGTAAATTTTAATGACCTTCTTTCTTTCTCCTTTCCTTTTTCAAGCCTATGGACATAAAATTTTTGAAAAATGAAAACTAGGTCATGTAGATACGTATTCAATCAAATATTTGATTTTGTTTGCAAAATTGGGTCACGAGGTTAAACAAAGTATCATCATGTATAAAAGGTCACCGACATACTTTGTTTTCTTTCTTTCTCACAATCTTCCTCTCTCTCTTCATATCTCTCTCTCTCTCTCTCTCTCTCTCTCTCTCTCTCTCTCTCTCTCTCTCTTTTGAGTGTTCATACAAATACGTACAAGAATAAATACAAACCAGAAAAGAAAGAAGAGAAAAATAGGCAAAGGCGATATGAACGTAGAGAAAAAAATTCGAAATAGGTTTAGTTGAGCATGGACAAGATTCTTATGACCTTCAAATTTTTTTAAGCTAGAATAGTTACTGCCACTCATCTGTTCAATACTATTCTTAAAACTACGTAAAATAATGTAAAATTTCTCGTTATTAAATATACAGACTATAATGTAAGGTTAAAAATGTCTGCGAGCAGAAATCTTTCTATTAAAGGAAGTCGATCGTTTAAAAGTATCTTGAAGTCGAAACTTTTCGCTAATGTACAATTTCACACCTTATTAGAGTACTATTCATTTGTATATCTTGATAAAACAAACATTACCTCGGATATAAAACGTAGAATCTTACGGTTCTTCACATAGTTTTATGATCGTTTTGTCAACTGAAACATATTTTCTCGACTTCGAAGGACTTGTAAACAAGGTATTTTTAAGTTTTAAGATGGATATTCTTTATTGTCTTCTAATCAAATTTACTCTGATTTTCTCAACTTCTTTTCTTGTCCTTATTCTTTTCTATTTAATTTGTAATACGACACTTCGTGACCTTTTTCTTCGTTCTTGTAGTACTTACTAAAAAAACCACATATGAATATAGCATATACACAAATGATTCGAATCTTACGACTACATATTTCAAGTTCATGACAACCACTACCTGCCACAAAGAGCGAAAAGAAACCTTGAAAACAATGGTCTGGCCTTTAATAAAAGGACTAAAGCTGTTGTGGCGTTGTTTATGATCAAAATCATCTGTCACATACAACTGTCTACTGCCATCAAATTTCATGGACATATGTGACAGTGTCCTTCAAAAAAAATGTTCTTTGTATTTATTTTGATTTTTTCAATCCTTGTTTTACAGACTAAATCTGATTTTATTATACACTATTAAAATAAATAAGCTCTTCAGTGTTAAAAATCGTGTTAAAATGCTTTCTCAACAATGAAAAGAAAAAAGAAATAGAACGTGAACACTGCTGTTTATTAAATGTCAAAAAAAAAAAAAAATTCTCGATGTACGCGATTATACTATTTGGTCAAATTCAGTCGCACAATAACGAATTTTTGACTTATTTTTCTTAATCTTATACGTAATGTTAGTCTGAAATTTTTATCCGTTCTAAATCTGACTAAACGGTGTTCTTCTTTCTTGGGATTTGACAAATTAAAAATGGCTACTATTTCATTTGGAAAAAGAATAACGAAAGATCTCGAATAAACATCTCCATAGCAACGAGTATTTACTATTTCGAAAAAGGTCAAGTACGATAGCTATACTCTATACGCTAATATACGACTGAAAAATGATCTTATTCGATAGGCAAATAAAAATTCTACTATGTTACCTTTTCCATTTTGTTCTTGTTGTTGTTCTTTTTCATTACTCTTACCCTTCTCACCTTGGTGCTGTTGTTCTTGTTGTTCATTTATAACAACTGTCATTTTATCGTTCATTTTCCATTATTTTCTCCAATAATAATAGTTTTTAAAGTTATACGTCAATTATTCAGTGCATATAGTTAGATTGTTTAGTAATTTACATACAAGTCATATTTTCAGCTCACATATTCTCTTTGGAGACCGGTGCGTTTCTTTTTCTTCTTTTGCGATTCTGTATTATTATTCTTTATCCTACTCAGCATTCAAATCTATGTATTCTATAACCTTCGTTCTCTGATTTTCTTCTTTTTTTTCAGTATAATTAACGGACAGAAGTGAAAAAAAGAAAAGAAATGACGAAGTTCTCTTTGTTCTATATTTGGGAACAACATCTCTCGTTTCAATTTGTCGTTCTATGTGGGAGCATGTCTCTGTACTATAACATCGGGAAAGACCTTTATAGGTCAAAATGGCAAACAAAAAGAAAATGATCTGCGCAATTTTGTTTTGTTCTTCTTCTTCTTCATTTTCTAATTGTTGACTTTTGTACGATTATGGTATCTAATGTTATTGTAATTGAAATAGATAAATGAGAAAAGGTCAAGAAAACGAATTCCCATTGTCCTGTCTGAGATTTTCATATTAGGTAAATAAGACCTTCAATATAATACTAGGACTAGAGAATCATAATTATATCTAAGTGTCATGAGTTAATTAGCTGTCCAACTATCCCTTGACAAGTTTCTTGTAAGAGTATTTAGAACGTATCATTTTTGTCCACTTTGTCACAGAACTTTAGGCTATTTGAATGGCAGACATTGCTAATGGATGAGTGAGTACTTGACATCAACTTTATAAACCCTCACTCACATTAGAAGCCCACCCCATAATAGAAGCCCAATCTGGCAAGAAATTTTTTGAAAATTGCCTCTGCCCCCATAGGGTACTTTTTGAGAAAATTTTGTCTTTCTTGCGGGATATAATAGAAGCCCACTGGGCTTCTAATATGGACAGGGGTTTAGTACAATATTCCTTTTCTACAAAACTTAAGAAACTTAGTTTACACCCAAAGCAGTTCACATCAACAATGTTAAGACGCTCATGGATCAAAATCTTTTGTAGTTTCTCTCGTCAATTTAATGGAACGTTTTGGATGCACACGTATTCTATGAACTTGAATCAATATTTTAGAATTTTCCTCTAATCTGCCATATAGGCAAAAAAATTAATTAACGAAAACGAGATTTGAACATTTCTGATGTACTTTACGAACAAAAAAATCTTTTTTCATTTCAAATATAAAGTAAGCATTTTTTCCGTTAATCTCATTAGTACACGATGAAAGAATTACTGTGTTTATTGCTCAAGGGATAAAAAACAATAAAATAAAAATGTAGACATTTCAGAATATATCATTCTCTCATTTCAAAAATATCGAATTTTTAAATTGTTTATTGAAGTTTTTGAGAAAGTCAAGTATAGACAGAGTTTATATACAGGGCGTTCAAAAACTGAGTATCCAGCTTTATTTTTGATGTTTTTGTTCGATCAAAATGGCTAACAGAAATTCAAAATATAATTTGAGTGAGCATCTGGAAGAGTTTCTCATGAAGAGAAGCGTGTGTGTGATAAGCCCAGCAAAATTGCTGAACATTCTTACTGTCTGAAAAACTAAAACTGTAGAAGAAAAAGTCCCCAGATTTGACCGAAAACTTTTTGTATATAATTTTTACTTGTATAGAATAAGCATTTCTTGCATAATATGAGATGTCAACGAATTCTTCACAATATTTTTTTACCAAAATATATTCATTTATACGGCACTAGAAACCGTCAAAAACAGCAATATCAACAGAAAAAAATGTTGTGGAGAATGTGTCGACATCTCATATTGTGCAGAAATGCGCTTACTCGATACGAGTGAATTTCAATCAAATTTGGAGACTTGTTCTTCTACAGTTTTAGTTTTTCAGACAGTGTTCAGCAATTTTGCTGGAATTATCACACACACGCTTCTCTTCATGAGAAACTCTTCCAGATGCTCACTCAAATCATATTTTGGATTTCTTTTAGCCATTTCGATCGAACTAAAACATCAAAAATAAAAGTGAACACTCAGTTTTTTTTTGTTTTTTTCATATTTTCATTTTATAGAGTGGTAAGAATTTAGAATGAATTTTAAACTCTTTAGTAGTTTAGTAGTTTTCTTTAGTATCAGTTGTAGGAATAAATTTTCTTCTCAACTTAATAATACAACCATCATTTTTCAATTCAAAAACTACAAAATTCGTTATCTATTCTCAAAGCTCTACTGATCGATTCCAGAAATTTACTTCGCGTATCAGAATACACTTTTTAACCTGTGTATATTGCTCGATATTTTTCTGACCTTAAAACTCTTTATAAATCTTGATTCGTACTGTAAAACTTACTCAGACCCACTTTAGTCTAAGTAAAAAATAAAAATAGATTACATGGGACAGAGAAAAGGGACAACAATTATCGAGAATAACGTTTTACTGTTGAAGTACTATAGCCATAACTCAAGATTTTCTCTTTTTTGTCAGAAGAATACTATCGAAATCCTTCTAGTACAGACGTGTCAAAGTTTAATTATATGTCAGAAAACAACGACGTAGTATCTACAATCTTTAGAAGCGAAGTGAATTAACATAATCAAAGTTACTTTTATCATTTTTTACGCCTAAATATTTTTCTCTGCTATCAGTAATTAATGCGGCCAAGTGTAAATATAACAACAACAACAACCATAAGAAAGTTCAGTACAACATTGAGAAAAAATTGACGTGACATTGATAGAGTACACAAATACCTATAGGATACCATATGTCACTGATATCGATGTTCGCCTCTACTCCATTCTCTACTGAGAATGCATCACAAATATGAACAGTCAACAAATAGTCTTTCATCTTGCACGTGTGCGTGTATATGTGCGTTTTTTATTACAAAAATAAAACAAATAATAGAGTGAATAAAACTAACAATTTTCTTTTCTCTTGCACAAAAAACAACAACAACTGATAGTAACAAATAGATACATATACATCTCTTCAAAATCGAGATACATACTTTTAATAAGCATACAAAATTTAAATTACACTATACATATCGTATACTAAGTAAAGTGTGGCTAAAGGTTGGTAGAAATGCGCGCAAGTTTGGATACAAAAAGAAAAAAGACAAAAATATTTCATCAATAATCTTTCGTCACTGCTTCTAACACAAAGTAATCTAAAACTAACAACAGAGAAACCTGAAAATGTTTGTCAAAAAAAAAAACCAACTGAAAAAAAAGAATATTCAAGTTGAAAAAGAAAAAAACCTTAAAAAGCAGCCACATTTTCCTGCCTTGTGTTTAGTTGGACGGAATAACAATCGCGATGTACACAAAGAAAACAAAAACAAAAATATAATTCCGACTAATGAATAGAGAGAGACACGTACGGTTCCTGAGTGACATACCGCCAACACATTTCTATGCTGTCAAGTGTCTGTTCTATATTAGATTTAAAAACAAAAGAAACCAACAATCAATGTATCCTATCTATCACTACGATGTACTTTTTTTTCGATAATTTGGTAGAAACAAAAGCACAATTTTAGTTATTTTCTTCTTATGCTAATGAGATCAGATGTCTTTCAAGATAAAATTCAACAATAAAATAAATTAGAATAGAAAAATGAGATTAAGTTGACGTTGATGATAATGAAGGATTGTGTGTTTGTTGTGGCGCTGGCAATGACAATGGTATCCTCGGTGTAAAAGTAGGTAATACGTATAATTGAAATTGGTCATAAATTGTTTTTAAATCATCTAGTGAAAATTGATAAAGAACCACAAAATTTTCTAAATATTTATCTAATTGTAAAGCACAATCGAGACATCGTACAACATGTTTTCGATCTTGTTCACTAACAAATAGAACATTAAAAACTTCAATTTCACAGTTAATACAATAATGAGCTGGTTCTTGTACTTGACGTAATTGTTTTCGTATTTCAATTGTTTGTCCAAAATTTAAATCTAAATATTGTAAACATAATTGAATATATTTTAATGATTGAAATAAAATATATTTAATAATATCGTAGAGTTTTTTATCATTAATACGAATATTTCGAGCTATATTCCATGTTAAATGTATCATGGGTACAATGGATTTAACTTGACACAATTTATTCCACTCATAACGTTCAATCGAAATTGTATATTGTTGATGTGTTAATGGACCAACATTCCATGCAATATTGTTACACCAGCCAACAGATTGAACCCAATGAATACAACCACAATTCACCCAAATAAGATCACCTAAACATTGTAAATAAGATTTTTAAAGATAAATGTACACATACAAAAAAAAACATCTATACTGTGATATGTTTTATCTAAACTTTATTTTACCTGGTTTTTGTAAAAATCTATAGACTGGCACATTTGCTTCATATAAATCATCTAAAATCGGCCACCATGATCCTGTTAAAAAATTGACACCATTTTTTTCACATAATTGATTGATAACACCCCAATATTCATTTGATATTCCAAACCATTCACAATCACCCGGTCCTATATTCATATTAACTGAACAAAAATTGTTATTTTCTTGATGACCGGGTGTTCGACTTCCGGGCACTTTCATATACAATTGTACACTGTTCATTCCTAAAATTGTATATCCAACATGTGATAGAATATTTCCAGCTGATACAACTCTCATGAATAATGGTAATTTTGCCAATTCTTGTAATTGTAATGACCATTTACGTTCATCGGATAAATCAACATTCGTACCGAATTTGATTGTACGTGATGCACGTTTACATTGTTGAGGATCAGACAATGATGTTGTTGAGTGAAGTCCATTGCTATCTAAACATAGAAAAAGTAAAAGATTCAATCACATAGAGAAAAAATGCGAGAAAACACTATAGTCTATGTGAACCCTTATTACAAGTAGTAGATTCTTATAAGTCAGTGTGGGTTTATGATAAAACTTGTTCAGAAATATCTTCATATGTGTTCTCCTTCTCTCTCTCTCTCTTCCATTGGTTGTCCTCCACAGAACAGATGTGTATTTTTATGTCACAATTCAGAAGAAACACATATATGATCATCTTTAAATTCACTAAACTTTATCAGTTTGTTTAGTCCTGAATATTTTAATAATAATTCACTGTTTTTGTTTAAACTTTCTTAATCAACTATCATGGACAAAAATCAGCAACCCATTGTATTGATACATGGTAGAATAGTGTTATAACCGTAGCAGATGTGGTATACATAAATAAAGAATAAAAATAGAACAAATAACATCATCCCAAAAAAAATATAAAAGAAACAATAATATAGTTAATCTTATTTAAATATTAAATGAGAAATGAAGAGAGGAAGAAGAAATGAGAAAAAATGATCATAGGGGAAGTGGACGAGTAAACTAGTGATCTGATTTATCAAAACATTTAGTAGTTTTTATAAAGCTGATCATTGAGTCCAAGGGGGGAAAAGCACCACTTCACTTCACGTAGGTCCAAACTGTGGAAATGGTGCTTTTTCCCTATCAGGGGCGTCATTTCAGCAGTGAAGTGAAATGAAGTGGTACTTTTTCCTCTTTAGATATATCGATATGAATTTATCTTTTTCTACTGGTTTACCAAGGATCAAGAGAGACCGGGTCAATCGTCCGTCGTGTAATACACAGCTTATGCTTTTCTCTGTTGATTATAAGGATAGATAATGGTCTCTCATCTCAATTTCACTGCATTCACAAAGATCCATATCTGATAATAATTTTTTATAGAAATTTGCATTCAATTGCGAAATTCATTGGTTATTATTCAATATGCGCATAAAATAAAGTACGAATGAATATGATTATATTCCTAGAGCTATTGATTAGAAGCATTATATAACATATGTTTAATGACAATGGAGAAAACCTGCAGTTTTAACACATAAAGTTTCTACTGAAATAATACACTAGTTCTCACATCAAAGTTAATATTAACAATTGAACGAATTATAAAAACTAGATGTGAAGTTTACAGTACGCTAACGTTGAATAATATCTATTGAAGGTATATAAAAAGTGAGTGAATGTTTGAGTATAAGTCTGATTCCTCACTATAGGATGGGACACTAATGCTTTCATTCTTGCTTATCAAAAAGATTGATTAGTGTGGACAGTTAGATGATTCCGAATTGAAAAAACATATTTTTTCTTTAAATATATTTAAATGTTTAATTATTTTGCGAAAAACAATAACAGAACTATTAACTAACTAACCAATAAAAGAACTATTAACTTCAAGGCTTTTTTACGTGTTAAAGTGAGACTCCGAGCATATTGTAGTGGAATAACTGACTATTTCTCGCCTTCTCCGTACTGTGAAACATATCACTCTTACTGGAATAATGTACACTAAGTGAGAAAAATCAACGTTTATGTCGATCAATTTGAATAAATAATAAAATTGTTAACATACTTATATGTTTAGTTTGTTTAGTTTTGTTTCCGTTAACAAGCGTATTTAACGATGCTTGATTTTGAACTGCAGGTGTTGATGCCTCGCACTGTTGTTCATCTTTAATCATTTCATGATAGGAATATGCTTGATATTGTGCATATTTTAAAATTGTAGTATAAGATCGATTTGATTCACATTTCCAAATGTTTTTTTTATAGGTTGTCACTGTTTGATCGATATTTTCATCTGATGGTTGTTGACGTTGTGTTCGTACTTCAATTTGATGTTCAGGATGCATTTCAACTAGCGTCTTGGTTGAGAATAAACCCAAATCTAATTTGAGAACATTGGCTAGACCACGTATGACACTTATTGGCTGTGAGAGGCAGTATTGTTGTAATTGAGGTGATGTAGCTTCTCGACGCGTTTCTAAGATGACAGATGGTGTAGGTGGATTCAATTGATCCTTTGGTAATGGTGGAAATGGAGCTGCGGGAGTGATTGGAATACGTCCATCGGGTAAATAACTCACTTGAGATGGTGGATATGTAGATGCATACGTTTTAATTAATTTTGTTAATTCATACGACGTAATATCACTGTATGGAATCGATGGAGCTTGTTGATCGACTTTAGCTCGTTCTAAACGTTCTTGTTTATGTAAATCAGAATTTAATATTTTTTTATCAATACGAATTGAATCTAAATGTTGTTTTGGTATGGAATTTTTTATCTCATTTGAATCTGTGTTTTCAGATGATTCATCATTTGTTTTTAAACGTTTTGGAGGTTTCGAAGTTTGCAGTAAATCGATAGTACTCGAATCTGTATTGTTAGAATTCATCATCACTGATGTGGACTGTGACTGAGGAATAAGAGGAGGATGAGAATGATTACTGTTAACAATTGATTCAGTTGAGGAATCTACAACAAATAACAAATATGATATTATACAAAAGAGGCTCATGAAGACTTCAAGCAATGTAACGAATATAATGTATAATAATGTATATATAGTAGGTTCACGAACACTCCACTCATGAAGGATTTTATTCAATCTTGACGTAAAAAATTCAATCTAAAAGATTCGCCTCGATGATTTTTTCAAAAAAAACGTTTCGTCTAGCACTGCGTACTTTATTTCAAGGCTGAGTTTGAGAAAGAGAGCCACTGATACCACTTCTGAACGAAAATTTGTATAGAAAAGTCACGATGTCAGAAAAGAACCGATGGATCAAGGTCAAAAAAGTTTGTTCAAATTTGTTGCAGAATATATCATTCCACGCAGTTTTTCGCGCTGATAATGAATCCGTTGTCTATTTGGAAACTTAGTTACTTAAAATTTAAAAAATCTACTAACAGTCCAAAACGAATTTTGAAATTATTCATATATTCTATGATTTGAAGCCAGTTCTGATAAATCTGAGCGAACAACTGTTCAGTGGCAGTACAATATAACGACAGGACCATGTAATATCTAACAGTTCATTTAAGAATTTATTATCTCTACTTGATAAGAGCTATGTATTTTCGCCTGAATTCGGTCTCAATGTTTGATTGTGTATAATGTGGTTCGTATCTAACAGAACTACCCAACTGTTGTAGACGATACTAGTACGATTTTCCTATCAGCTTTGTGTAAATGGTGCTGATTTACGATACTGAAAACAGAAAAAAATTATCTAATTAAAAAACTATAACATATCGATATAAAATTTAATAAAAATTTTTATCACTTTTATAATGACTATTTTTCTCTTAGAATGACTTACAATACGTTTTAACTTTTACGTTATACGGTTTGTATTGTAAGAAATGTCGAAGAAAAAGAACGATCGACTTTTTGTTATACATATGTTTTTCGTTCTGTGTTATAGATATATTTTCGTTTCTTTATTTTGTTACTCTTTGAATGATAAAATAACGCTAGTCGCGTGTGTATTCAATGTAGAACAAAATTCTATATGAAGTAATAAATGACACAGAACCAATGTCTATCATCTGTGAGACAACAATTCAGTCGTCTTCTCTGTTCAATAAAAAGTAAATAATAATTGTTTAGAAATATCTATAAATCTTACACTCACATACAAAAAGCGATAAACTAACAAGATAAAAAATTCAAGAGTGGAAAGAGTGGAAAGATGTGACCAAAGAGAAATAATGGCGAAAGCATTGAATAAAACTAACTCAAGACAGCAAAAAGACTGCTCATATACGCAATATATTTTTAATTTACTTATTTTTCATTAGGAATCCGATAAAGATGAAACGACTAATGAACGTAAAAACTTCTTGTCGGCTATCTAGATCAGGACTACATTCTATTTGCTTCTCACTCGAAAAAAATCTGTGATGGCTGAGTATGGAAAAATTTTCTCTAGCTTTAATTTCGATTCCCTTGTCGGTGATATTAAGTGGTATGTAATGAATGTTTCTATGGTGTATTTCTAAAAAAAGATGAAATAACGATAATAACCTACTTGTCGTGGAAGAATTGGCAACTGTTTGTGCAGTTTGTTGAATCGGTTGACAAATAGAGTTTTGTTGTATTTGTTGCTGTTGTTGTTTTGCTGTGAGCTCAGCGGGAATTGGTAACGTAAAAGCTTCGTCAATTTTCGGTAATGGACCACGTGTTCTATGACAGCAGAGAAAATATAGAATAACAAAACAAATATAAAACTAAACTAAAAACATACTGTTTGGAAAGTATTGTATCAGGGATTTGATTAAAAAATGTTTGTAATTGCGTTATACGCAAACGAAGGTCAGAATTCCAAGAATCTATACGAAAAGATAGCATTGGTTACGATTAATTCCGCAAATAAACAGTAATATATTACCGTCTTTTTCTTTAGTTGCTTTCAAATAACACGATAAAGCATCTTGTGGTTGACCGGATGCCTCATACAATATGCCTAAATGAGAAAAAAAACAACGCATTCGTAGTAAGTTATTGAGGACATGAATAACAACTAGTTTTTTACCTAAATCCATCCATGCTGTGGAGTGTTCATTATCGATTTGTATTGCACACACAAAAGCTTGTAAAGCATCCATAGTTTGATTTTGATGTTGATACAGGACTCTGGAAAGACAAAGAATTATTATGACGATCCAATTCAACGATTTTATCAGAAGAGTATCGCAGATTAATTCATTCAACGATCGACTTCATATGATAAATATACCTGTGAATGTAGCTAACAGTAAAAATATCAAGTTCATAAAGGTCTTGACAAAGAAGTTATTTTTTCAAAAATAAAGTCGATCATCATCTTACAGGATGATTCTGTTTTCCGTACGTATACATCGTTAAAGAAATATCTTATGAATTAGGAGTGCATCGGTTATTTTTTCGTATTTTTCAAAAATTCACAATAAATGTTTTGTATTTTCATAAAAACGATTTGTAACATTTTTCTAAAACGGCAGTTTTGTAGAGAAAACATTTCTCTACA